CTTTTTTTTTGCCAAAAAAACCCTAGAACTGGGAAAAAATGCCAATAAAAAACTACAAAATATCAATAAATTTTCAAAATTCTTTAAAGAAATAAAAAATAAATAATATAAAAATAAAGTAAAAAACAATGTTTTTTGTAATTTTTGTTTTTGTTTAATATGTATTAGATTGAAAAAATGGTGAAATTTGATGTTTTTATTAAAAAATCCTAGATTTTGGAGAAAATTTAAAAAAATTTCTTTTTTTTGCCAAAAAAGCCCTAGAACTGGGAAAAATGCCTCATCTGGCATCACCACCAAACAAAAAAATCAATAAATTTTGAAAATTCTTTAGAGAAAAAATGAACAATATAAAAATAAATTTGTAATAAGACAATGTTTTTGTATAATTTTTGTTTTTATTTAATTTGTATTACATTGAAACAGAAAAAAACTTCTCTAGAAAATCCCTAGACCTAGCGGAAAAAATGCCTTATCTGGCATCACTGCTAAACAAGAAAACAACAAAAAATCAATAAATTTTTAAAATTCTTTAAGGAAATAAAAAAAAATAAACAATATAAAAATAAATTGAACCTGGCTTTTTTAATAAAACAATCTTTTTTTTTTTGTAATTTTTGTCTTTGTTCAATATGTAGTAGGTTGAAAAAAATCCGGAAAGGGTTGATGTTTTTATTGAAAACTAAAAAAAATCCTAGTTTTTTGAGGAAATTTCAAAAAATTTGTTTTTGGCAAAAAAATTCCTAGAACCAAGGAAAAATGCCTGATCTGGCATCACTGCCAAATAAAAAACTACAAAATATCAATAAATTTTCAAAATTCTTAAAAAAAAAGAAATAAAAAATAAGTAATATAAAAATAAAGTAAAAAACAATGTTTTTTTGTAATTTTTGTTTTTGTTTAATATGTATTAGATTGAAAAAAAGCTGAAATTTGATGTTTTTATTAAAAAATCCTAGAAAAAAATTAAAAAAATTTCTTTTTTTGCCAAAAAACCCTAGAACTGGGAAAAAATGCCATATCTGGCATCACCACCAAACAAAAAATCAATAAATTTTGAAAATTCTTTAAAGAAATAAAAAATAAACAATATAAAATAAAGTAAAAAACAATGTTTTTGGTAATTTTTGTTTTTGTTTAATATGTATTAGATTGAAAAAAAGCTGAAATTTGATGTTTTTATTAAAAAATCCTAGAAAAAATTTTAAAAAATTTCTTTTTTTTGCCAACAAACCCTAGAACTGGGAAAAA